CTAAGAAGAAAGTAAACCTACAGACATCGGTCTTGTTTAACAAAATCTGCCTACAATATATATATATCAAAATTATATTGTGACGTTGCTTGGAGTTATGCAGGTAGTGTGATGGCAATATATAACAGCCCTTTCCGACGCAAAATACTTATAAACTCAGATCACAAGGATGTGTTCAAATCGGGGATTTAGAATCTCCAATACGGGGATATCTCTTGTACTTAATGGCATTGGAAAATATCAGGAATATGGATCAACTTGGGGTAGCAAGACCATCCAGAAAGGAATAGTAAGCAAAGTGAAGTCCCAGGTGACAGTCTACAACATAAAAAAAAAGAATGTGTGTCTGGGAAAGATACACAACTTACGTCTACACATGTTTCTTCCATGACAAATCTGTTCAACCATCACATACCTCAGTCAGCTGAAGAAAGAAATATGTATTTAAGTTCTTCCATACGAAGACATACTGTCAAGTCACCAGAGTATTTCTGTGCAATCTGACTGTTGAAATGGGTACGGGGAATTGTTGTCCTCGTACCATAGATGTACTATGGAAAGCAAGCGGAAAGGAATAGTGTGCTTTAGACATGACAACCTTATGACGAAGCTTTTTGCAATGGAATTACACTATAGGGTTGTTGTCAATATGTGAGGTCGTCGCTAGAACTCTACCTACTTAATGAGGCTCCAAAATAGTTTTAATATAACGCATTGAACCTTTGTAAACCGGGATTTTTCTGAAAGTTAAAGTTTCCGAATAATACTGAAATAAGATAAAAATTATTTTGAATTTCGTATCAAGAGATAAAAAATTTTAGAATCTTATTTTATGACCAATTTGTAACTAAATAGAAAAATTAGCTTTGACGAAAGTATTACAAGAACGAAAACAAAATTTCAATTTGAGTTTAGTAGTCGTTCAAGTCCTCATAAAAAGCAAGCACAGCTTTGTTTTTGACTTCATTATCTTAGAACTCTTCGTCTTAGAAAAATTGTCTAAAGTCGTTTTTTCTTTTTTATATCATTGAAGGAAATGACTTGGTGTTGTATTACACTCTCTTTCCCTTACATGTTAATATTAGAATAATTATTGTGTAATCTTTATATGTTTGGATTGTCTAATATGTTGTCGTGATAATATATCTTCGTGTACTGAATATTATATGTGAATTTTTAATTTTTGTCACCAGAACGTGTAATTTGAATTAAAAGAAGAAAGAATCCGTGAAAGACGTATAAATCTAATCTATTGTTTCACTCGATAATGGTTCTACAGTAGACTATAGTACTGGTTTGGAGAGTGAATTAAAGATATTTCTTTAGGCCTATAAACTGAATATTTTATGGTTTATTCTGACGAAAAGAAAACATACCCAAGTAGCAAATATTTAAAAATAAAAATGTTCTAATGTTAATAGTGGTAGGTATCGAACACAAAGAGTGTTTCTCATGAACTCTGAAGATAAAGTAATTTCGTGTATAAAACCACTTTTGTGTGTTTACTCGCCTAACAAGACAGAATTTGACAGAGAAGATTAAATGTAACGGTACTGAAGATAATTTCTATAGCTACAGATAAAGAGAGAAAAATAAAATTTATTTGCTCTCTGTACAAATAATACTCAACGTTATGTGCCTGAATGATTCATCAAAATCTAGTTTTAGGATGTAAACAAGTCTTAATATGTAAAATAGTTTCATAAGATTTCCCCCAAAAACTATTATTGTGATTGTTTTAAAGAGTGGTACAGATAAAATATTAAACAGAAACAAATATATAGAATCCGATGAAAACATATAAGCAGATAGGTTTAATAAGTTGCATAAAAACAAACAGAAGGACAGATCGAAACTATTTCTAATGCTATTTTATGTTTGTTTGTTCTTCTTTAGTTAAAGATTCTGCTTCTCACTCCATGATTCCGGTATATTGTATAGGACATGTTCTACCGCTTGTGTCAGCTACCTACAGCTTTTGGATCCTACATTTGTGAACACGCCCAAAGTCCAAGCCTGAATGTTTCAAAACAAACCGTGAAACACTAAAACTGTATCATTCCTTTGGAGAGCACAGTGAACAAACTTTGTTCATGCAAGAAGCAACTCTGTTAAGAAGGACAATATACAAATATAGCCAGTCAGAAGTATCCATTCCTTTCATTCAACCTCCACCCTAATATACTAATCTAGCCATTAAGAATTATCCATTCCTTACATTCAACCTCCACCCTAATGTACTAATCTAGCCATTCAGAGTTATCCATTCCTTTCACTCAACCTCCATCTTAATATACTAATCTAACCAGTCAGAAGTATCCATTCCTTTCACCCAACCTCTATCTTAATATACTAATCTAGCCAGTCAGAATTATCCATCCCTGTCACCCAACCTCCATCTTAATATACCAATCTAGTCAGTCAGAATTATCCATTCTTTTCACTCAGCCTTTACCCTAGTATACTAATCTAACCAATCAGAATTATCCATCCTTGTCCCAAATTCTACCCTAGTGTACTAATCTAGCTAGTCAGAATTATCCATTCCTTTCACTCAACCTCCACCCTAATATACGAATCTAGCTAGTCAGAATTATCCATTCCTTTTGACCCAACCTCCACCCTAATATACTAATCTAACCAGTCAGAATTATCCATCCCTGTCCCAAACTCTACCTTAATATACTAATCTAGCCAGTCAGAATTATCCAATCATTTCACTCAACCTCTACCCTAATATACTAATCTAGCCAGTCAGAATTATCCATCCCTGTCACTCAACCTCCATCTTAATATACTAATCTAGCCAGTCAGAATTATCCATTCCTTTCACTCAACCTCTACCCTAATATACTAATCTAGCCAGTCAGAATTATCCATTCCTGTCACTCAACCTTTACCCTAATATACTAATCTAGCTAGTCATAATTATCCATTCCTTTCACTCAACCTCTACCCTAATATACTAATCTAGCCAGTCAGAATTATCCATTCCTGTCACTCAACCTTTACCCTAATATACTAATCTAGCTAGTCATAATTATCCATTCCTTTCACCCAACCTCCATCCTTACCAAAAGTGAAGCAGATCATCAATCACAAACTTGCGTGTTACTGTTGTAGTTCGTTAGGATAAATGGAATAGACCTACTTGTGTAGTATTTTCCTCACCCTTCTATACCATAGCCAGTTATCTGGCCGTAGTGAAAGTTACATAGATCTGGCAGCGTCCTTTTTCGAACAGAATAAAAGTTTTTCCAGTTTTTATCCTGGCTCCATTCTGACAACACCATGATAAGTCAACGCTGGATGTTGGATTTGTGACAACACGTCGTGATGCGTTTCATAAGCTTATTGGTTGTCATTAGTCCATTTTCCTTCACGTAGTTTGGACTTTGATATCTGCTACAAAGACAGTTGTTGGTCGAAAATATACGAAATTTAAAATATTGCTCTTAGTAACAAATTCACTGACACGTGCTTGTGTGAGTATTGCATAAAGATTTCTGTTTCATTGTTACCATTGTTTGTCTCATTATTTTTTCGTAACAACAGAGCAAGATTAAATTACCTATTATTTAACAACTTTTCAATTACATTTTATAAACTAAGCAAGTAGTTGTTAAGATCTTTTTTCTATATAAATTCAGAAGCACTACACATATGTATATATATAAACAAGTGCTTCACAACTTTAATGTTAATACGTAAAACTTAAGCTCGAAATATTATGTCTCTTATAAAATGTTTAATTTCAAGAGAAGGTAATGTCGGCTAGGAGATTACTCAGGACTTTTCCAAAATAACAGAAATATATAATTATCTACAAGAAAATATATATATTCTGCTCAGTGAAATGATCGATAAAATGGAAAAAATCTTTATAATATTTTAAGAACTCTATATTATTATCAATTTAAAACAAACAGATAAAAATACTGGTTTCGTGTCTTCAAGAACTTTTTTGAATTTCCAAAATTAACACACTTTCTGATAAGATTTACTTAATGATAAAAACTTCCCACATTTCTTTGACCTTAAAGTTTATATATGTGTTAAACTATCTAACATTCAATGTGGTTTTAAATGTATTAAAGAAATAATTTTCACAAAATAATATCTAATTTTCACAAGAATACCAAAATGAAAATAAGTATGGTATTTTCTCATAATGCGTTTGTTAACAGGTAATTATTTACATTTTTGACGAGAGATTTATATAAATCTATTCTTAAACCTAAATTTTCTGTTTCTTCAATATATATATGCGTACAACAAATACAACATAATGTATAAGTAACATTGCAGTAAATCTAGAGTTTATAAAAAGTATTTTCTCCCCAGTAGGGTCTGTAATAAATTTGTTGTATATAATATGACATTTCCCACAAATGTAACAATTTGGTTTATTAAAAAAAAAATATCTTCACCAGATTGATTAATTTTTTCTGATTTAAGACAGTATATAAATTTTTGTTTTGTCATCATGATAATACGATTTGTTTATTTTCCAACGTAGCTTTTAAAGTTGTATCCGATATTATTTTCAGTTTGTGTTCTATATAATTAAGATTAATTTTAACTCGAATACAATGGATAATTATGAAAGGAATAATTTGCTGCTCTCTCAAAATATCCTAAAATGGAATAAGTTGGAGCCAATTTTGTTCCCACTGAGGTTTCAAAGAGTTGTTGATATATATTACCTTTATAAACAAAATATGAATTACTTAAAATAAGTTGGATCCTTCAACTATCACTTATTTATTAAATAGTGGATGTAACATTTCTGGGTATTTATCTAAACAATATTCAATAACACTTACACCATATTCATATTTAATACCAAGATGAAGAGAAACTACATATAATAATATTAAAACAATATTTTTTTCAATTGATAAAAGCTATATCATCTGCTATATAGCTTTGTACTATATGTAAATAGTTTTAGAATTATGTTTATAATGTCCTTGTTTTTACAACTTATAATTGACTTTCAAGAGATTTTTAAAGGACTTTTTATTCAAAGATATTCTACCATATCGTTAAATTCTTTACCTTTATGAATTTTTGGCAGTACATAAAATATTTCTAGTTTATTATTACTTAATCAATAATCGTTTTCTGTTTTAGTAAATATGTGTATAATTCTTTATATATAATTTTCTTTATTAACAAATTTTGGAGCATCTATGGGGACACATCATTGCAAATTTCTTGGTCATTTAAATGTTCTAAAACCATATGTCATAATATTTTTAGTCGTGCATAACCAAACTTTATCAATTTTTTGAATAAAAAATGTTTTTCATAGTTTTGATATTTTAATGCACCACTTTCTTTTATTCAAACGCTATCATTAAGTGAAATAACTGTATAACACGCATTTTCTACACGACTACAAATTATATTAAGTTCAAGAATTCTTCTTTGTGGAAATACAAAATTGCTTTTTATTTGTTTTAAGGACTCATCATTATCATTATTGTTCTTAACAATTATTGTAATCTTAAGTTCCCAATGATTAATGATAATTTTCAGTTTTATTTGGTTTATTGTTTTTGGTAAAGGAAAATCCTCTCTTTAACTGTTTAATTTTCTCTTCTGACAAAAATGTTGAACTAAAATTGAATACTTTCAAGGTCTTTACTGGAGAAAATAGTATATTTCTTCATTTATCTTATTTTTTTATTAATAGGTATAATTTTCCTGTTATTCATTACTTTCCATATTACATCTGGATCAGTAGGTTCTGTAATATATTTATTGTATGCAATATAACTACAGATATGTAAATTTGTTGTTGTCTTTCAAAATTTATAGTGCATATTAGAGAGATTTACACATTTTGATAAAAAGTCTATAAAAAACGACCTTTATACTCCAGTATATACAGAGAACTTTTGTATTTTAACCAACGTTGTGTATATTAACCCTGATGAAACTGCAAAGGTTGGTTAAAATAAAAAAGTTCTTTGTATATATAACTGGAGTATAAA